CAGCAATACACCAAACTACATAATGACCTATGATTCAGTAAGATCAATATATTACTAAGATATGTAGTTGTAGACTGCTGCTGAATAGAAATATTCGGGCTCCCCTGATACCTGTTTTCAAATTAGTCCATATTAAAGTTTGAAGGGTTCAAAATTAAAATATGTTTGGTTTCAACTGACATAAAATTTTTGGTGTGTTTTATATGCTAAATCTACATCTGCGGTTGTATTAGGCTTAGCTAGGCGAAGCATTTTATTGCTTTTTTGTTTGTACTTTGTTTTATTTTGGTCATGAAAATTATCTTGTAGTTATGAAGTTGCTTACATTTTTAAAAGATTATAATTAGATATTTTTGCATGGTGACAACACTGACGTTTTCGAAGATTTACTTTTTCCCGGGAATGCTTCATCTGTTGACATATTCTCATTGTGAACGATTTGTGTATATTTAAATATATTAACCGATTCTGAAAGACATGTATAATGTCAAATCATAACAATACAAATTGTTTAGTCTCAAAGAAAACTTGTAAGATTTCCGCAGTTATTTTTGTTGAATAGGTGCAAATTGGGTACTCGGTGCAATTTGGGAACTGTGACGTTATAGCCATAAATGTTTATTGCTTTAATAGGTTGAAATGTGCACCTAATGAAAGTATTCAGTAAAGGGAAAATGTTTTGATCAGGTTTAAACTGACGCATAAAATATACAGGCGGCTGCGGGAGGCAATTACTTATATTGCATCCAAATAATGTGTCGGCAGCTTGAATTTCAAAGGATGTAGCCCACATGCTCTATACCTACCAAAAGTCATGGTATTGTCATGGGTTATCATAACTCCATCTTCCCATAAAATCCTATTTTTGACAATATGGACGCATACAAATTACAATATATATACCTATAAATGTATCACTCAGACTCAATTCTCCCTTTACAGCTGTTTTATGATTAAACTTAGAGAGTGAAAAAAACAGTCTCCATCTCCTGGGACTGTTTAAGGTAGAAATGTGTCATAATTAATGACAAGATTTGTTGAAAAAGAGGGACGAAAGATACCAGAGGGACAGTCAAACTCATAGATCGAAAACAAACTGACAACGCCATGGCCAAAAATAAAAAGACAAACAGACAAATGATAGTACAGGTGACACAACATAGAAAACTAAAGACTAAGCAACACGAACCCCACCAAAAACTGGGGGTGATCTCAGGTGCTCCGGAAGGGTAAGCAGATCCACATGTGGCACCCGTCGTGTTGCTTATGTTATTACAAATCCGGTAAATAGTCTAATTCGGTAAGTCACATTCGTGAAAAGGGAAGGGTATTGTAGTCACGACATAAGGAACATATCCGATATCATCTGTGAAACGGTTATTCCATAACGGTCAACCAACTCGTGATGGCGTCCGTAAAATTTACGAAGAGATGATCTCAACTTCACCATTTGGAACTCTTGGCTTAATAGCTTCCTTGTGAGCAGCAATCATCTATCAAGGAAATCATGATAGGAAACACAAGCCCGGGAATATCGTATCAATTGGGAGATATATACTCCGTATGCAGGCGCTGCTGGAATGTTGCTACATAGAAATGGAAAGTTCACAATTGGGAAGCTGAAATCATCTCTTTTGTCGTAAAGTTTTGTTTTCAACCGATCCTCATTGTCAATTTCTAGATGTAAGTCAAGATATGAGGCAGACTTAACTGTATCTATCTGTAGTATCCTTTATCTCTAGTTTGATGGGATAGATTCGTTCAACATAGTCACCAAATTTTGTATTATTTAGTGAAAGAACATCATCTATATAGCGGAACGTAGAGTTAAAGGATATTGCTAACTTCTCATCTTTCTTCCTAAGAAGTTCCTGTATGAAGTCAGCCTCATAATAATAAAGAAACAAGTCGGCAAGAAGAGGGGCACAATTGGTTCCCATTGGAATTCCGACAGTCTGTTGAAAAACACGTCCTCCAAACGTAACAAATATGTTGTCAATCAAGAAATCAAGTATCTTGATAATGTCAGTTTCAGAGAATTTTTTGTTTGAATCAGAGTGATTCTTTACAAAGTATGATGTATCCCTCCCCAAGACAAGATACTTGTATCTACGTTCGCCATTCTTTTTAATGAAACAAAGTAAAACCAACTCTTTCAATTTGTCTTTTGTATGTACTCTAAAAGATCTTTGGAATTTTTTAGTATCCACATCTGATTCACGCCACCTCTAGAATAGGCAGTTTCACAATAACTTTGGAGCCCCGCTTTGATTGCTGATAAAATAGATGTTAATAATTTAGAAAGAGGTTTCGTGGAGCACTTGGAAGACCCAGCAATATACCGTTGTTTGTAAGGACACTTATGTAGTTTAGGTATCCAATACAGTGATGGAAGATCCAGTTCTTCATCTTTGGTTGAAATTTCAAAGGAACATAGAACAGACCTATGATTATCCAGGATTTCTTCTTTTGTAAGTGTCGTGAGGGTATATGTTGAGTTTCCAAGTGAATTGTCAATACCTAATTCATTTATCAAGCAGTTTATGTAATGATATTTACACACAAAAACGATGTTGTTTGGGGCTTTATCTGCGGGGACAACAACATATTTGTCATGGAGGTAGGACAAGTGTTTTGCAACATTTGGGTCTTTAAAAATTGATGTAGCGTGGGTATTGATATGCCCATTTAGTTTCTTAATTCGGATTTGTATCAACGACCTCACAGCCTTAATCCATTCGGAAAGAGTATCTACGTCTTCTTTCTCGCGTTTAGCCCATTGCCTGGCATAATCCTCGAACTTTGAAAGTTTGCCAAAGGAAGTACAGTCTACAGATAATGAAATTGAATATATTGTTTTTGTTTAAAACATTTGTTAAGGTTCACCATAACAAATGGACAAAAATGGCTGTATTTACATCTCAAAACCTACTCCGAGTACAGACTCACCTGTGCAGTTGGAAAAATTTTAAGGCTGGCATCCACTAGATATATAAAAGTTAAATGCATTTTGTGTTTCAAAAAGATAAAATCTTTTTTGGATTTTGATGGGCATTTTTTTCTTCGTTCCTGCAGAAGGTGTAAAAATAAACAAGCACCTGAATTGCTTTAGATACTGTTCACTCAGTTACACCCTTTAACTCACCTATAGTTGTGTAGATATCTATTGTCTGTCTATTGTCCATGCCAATCAAGGACAACCAATACACTACAATACAGTTTTAACCTGAGAGGGAGCATCTCAAAGTTGTACCCCAACTTAGTTTATTTTTACACCTTCTGCAGGAACGAAAATAAATGCTCAACACAATCCAAAAAATTTTTATCTTTCTGAAACAAAAAATGCATTTAACTTTTATATATCTAGTGGATGCCAGGCCTTAAAACTATTCCAACTGCACAGGTTAGTCTGCACTCAGAGTAGTTTTTGAGATCTAAACACAGTCATTTTTGTCCATTTGTTATGATGAACCTTAGGTTTTGAATTTCACCAGCATTTGTCTGTGAGCTACAGTGATTAAACAGTGTAACCAACTTCATTATCACTGTAACTTGATATGGGAAATTCTGTAGCAGATAAATAAAAGTAGGCATGGTCAACTAGAGGCAGAGCACCGGATTTTACTACCTCCGCCTCCGGCTACGTTTCTCCCGAAATTTATTGCTTGCAGAGGGTTTTTCTGTGTTCCCATGGCTGGACGGAACTTTTACACTACAAATGTTATCATAAATTATGATATTGTAACTTTTAAATGAAGTACCTGTGGTAATTTAGGAAATTTGTCACTGATAATGGAAAGATGAAGCAGACGATAAAACATGGCGTAAGATGTTGTTGTCCAAACTTCGGTTATTTCCGTGGTACAATAAAATTTAAGTAAACTACACAAGTAACTAAAATTTCTAAATTCTTTTTTTTGTAAACAAGTAAAAATTCATGTCGTATTTCACATCGAATTTATTCCGTTTTGTTCTGTTTTTTCAAGATCGCGATGAAACGAGAATCTTGCAGCCATTAAAAATATAAGGGTTAAACTAATGTCCTGACAATGTCCTGACGGATATTCAAATGCTAATTTCGTTTTCATTATTTGAAGAATTGACTTTATATTTGGAGCCAAGCAAGAATACAATATCTATTTAATAAATACAAGGAAAAAAAAAGAAAAAAAATATTTTTAAGAGTAATATAACTTGACTTGACCAACTTCGAAAAAAATGTTTAAAAAATCGTACGAGATTTAACGAGAGTGACGAAACATTTTAGATTGATCATGTAGAGAGAGTTATCGTTCTCTATTCCTATTCGATGCTTCTACCATAAGTGCCAGCTAAAGCTGGCATACTAACGGCGATGTGCTAAAAATATGGTTCATAGTGTATCCATTTGTAAGTTTACCTTTCAAATAATATCCCAAATAAACTCCAGAAATTTGAGGGTAGCTGCATATTTATGAATTATGAGTGATGATACAGATTAAAAGCAGTTATATAAACTTTTAAACATATTTTAAATATTGTATATAAGTATATAGGCAGAGACATATATACACCAGCGCGTCACGTTTGCGCGAAAAAACAAATCGACGTTCGCGCGAAATTTACCTGTTCAAAAGTCACTACGTTTGTGCAGATTAATTAAAAATATTTATATCTCTGGTACAGGGCATTCTTTTTTAAATATTTATATAACTATAGGTACTGAAAGTCAGTGAATGTTATATTAAAATGGGTACTTTTTTCGGCAAAAATGGCACACCCTACCGTGTTTATTTTGTAGATGCATTCTGATTGACTTTATATAATTTTGAATCCATATACACCAAGACACATAACTTTCAATAAGCCCTGTCATGTATGTCTAGAGATGTAACTATACCTTTTAAGTAAAATAAAATTAATCTTGAGAAACAAGGACAGTTTGAAAAGACACATTTTTTTGTGGAATACAAATTGGTAATTATGTTTAAAATTCATGAAATTTGTGTGAAATTTCTCATGTAAAATGAATGTTTTACTTTTTCACATTGATTTCTTTGATTCATTTGAAAATAAGGAGATGTGGTATGATTGCCAATAAGATAACTTCACCTGAAAATTTGCACATGCATTTTTAAAATTCTAGATTCACATGAATGTACATTTAATGTGTAAATTTTAAGTTTAAATAATACATATAATAGCTTTTAAAGGAGGATGTTGTACTAAAAGGCTTAGCATGAACAGATAATTTTAACCATTATGCAAATATTCATGTTTACAGTATGCTGTTGTTATTTTTTTATCAGCTTATACACTATTTATAAATATGCTCTCTAAAAAATGAAAAACAATGGAAAATAAATTGTGAAAAAAAATTCTCTTGAAGTTAAATGTTTAATTGATGTTAAATGAGTTTTAATTTGAGAGAAATAGGCTGTGTAACACAAAAATATATAATGAAAACGCACTTAAAACACATGGTAAACTGATGTTTGACATGCGTTTTTAAAACATACGTTTTACGTACGTGATGTATTACGCCCGTTTCTAAACAGGTGTTTTACACCCGTTTTGATTCAGGCGTTAAACGCATGTTGGCTAAAACATGCGTATTCCATACGTAAAACGTACGTTTTACAGACGTTATCTAAAACGTACGTAAAACATGCGTTGCACTTTTTGCTGTGTACAATTAATTAAGATCTATGACTGTAAATCATGACAATAGTGAGACAAATATGAGACACAGACATATTTTTGAGGTCAACGAAATTGCTGATGGTTATCTTACAATTTATGAAGTATTGAATTCGGTCGAATTCAGTCGTTATTCCTCCTAGCTAAGTACAGGATGTAGGCCAAGATTGTGTGTATGGAGATCAATACTGTAAAAGCGGTCGGTAAAATAAGAACGTACACGATCGTAATGTATCAGTTCAGACAAGTTAACTCTATACGATATAAGCAGAGGATTGGTTTATGCTCAACATAGGGAAATTGACGAGTAACACAAATGACAACATAAAAAGGTAAAGATTGTTTAAACAAGAAACTTTTCCGAAATTTAAACCTTTCTTATCTATTAGAACACGTAGAACGGATGTTTAGTTTTCGCTTTGCTAATCCATTTGTTTTTTCACTTAAGAGATTTATTTGCCCCCTTGATATAATATATCTTTGTAGAATTAGAATTGATATATACGCAAGCATGTTTGTTTCCTTTTATGTGTGAAGATACATGACACAATTTCAATTTTCAGCTGACATTGGTCTAGTTTTTAAGAACGCTATCTGTATACAAGGCACAAGTATGATAGACCCCCTCCAACAAATGGACATATAACGATGGGGCATTGATGACTTTTCTAAATGGGGAAATTACCAACCGGCTGTGAATGGAACGTGTGTACGCATGATAAGAAGACTGAATTACGTCTGGAAAACTATTGATGAATTTAAAACGTGTTCGTACATTTGTGATTATAACTGACATGTTCATAACCTAATTATCATTTGTATTTTGTGTATTTTTTTTTTCATCTTTTAAATTTCATTTTGTAGAATGCATTACTATTAGGTCTTATACTATTAATCAATTGTTAAACACATAATGACCATATTTTTGTGTCGAAGATCTGTTCTAATTGCCTGATACTATCTGTTATAGTCCGCGACAAAGCATCGACACAATGTCATAAAAATGGATCCAATATCCTCTCATTTAGGTGCAAATCATGTATCTGGCCTAATTTCATAGAAATTGATCCAATATCCATAATTTAGGTGCGGATCATATCTGTGGCCTGACATTGATACTGTGCTATGTACGCAATGTTTCGGGTTATTTCGAAAATGTTTTTATTCCAGGGAAACCTTCATCAGAGACCACCCCTTTTGTTTTTTGTTTTGTTTTTTCGTGTGTTTCTTTTTTATTACTGTTTTATTTAAATTTTTACAGTTTTAATTTTTATTTTTTTTAATTTTTAAATAGTTTTTAAATGGTGTTTTTGATAATTACACTTTTTAATTAGTTTTTTGATGTTTTGTTTTTCTAACTTTTTCAACCAATGTTGAATTAATTACGTGTTTCATAGTAAGAAAGTGTCCTCATAAGAATATCAGTTTACATGTGTTGTTTACATGATGGTCATTAATTAGTTCTGTACAGTTAAATGTTAAGTAGGAACTGGGAGGTTAAGATAAAATATTTTATAGCTCGTTTCACTAATTCACCAATGTTTCTGTTTCTTTTGAATCCTATTGATAGGTTTTTATGGAAGTTGGCTCCTATTGTAGAATCCGTTTTAATAAGATGCCAGTATTTCCTGAATACTTTTTGATGTTTTTCTGCTTGAGGATAGTAATTTGTAATGAATGATATATTATATTTATTTTCAACTTTGTTCTTTTTCTTTAATTTATCTTGTCTGTCTTGGAATTTGATTTTTGATAGAATTTGTTTTACCAATTTCAATTTATATTCCCTTATTAATAGTCTTTCAATAAAGAGATTTATTCTGGTTTGAAATTCACTGCCAGTGTTTGTGTTTCTAAGTATAGGAATGCCTTCGCCTTTAATAAAGGACTTAAGTTTTGAAATTGGGTGGTTTGAGTTTTTATGAAGATATTGGAAATTTTCGGTATTCTTTGTAAAAAAAATTCAGGTCTGACACATCAGTATTTTTGAAGCGTTCGCCTTTGAAGATTTCAAGGTCTAGAAATTTTATGGAATGATTTCTCCATTCATAAGTGAACTTTAGAAAGTCATGTTGTTTATTTGCATTTTCAAACAGAAAATCAATTTCAGACACTTTTTCTTTTACAATCAGTAGTCCCTCATCTCTCATTCTTTTATGAAAAATACTTTAGATTTACTCTGCGCTCTTTGTTGGTTGTTAAAATAATAGTTAATACATTATATATATCATTTAACAAAAAAGCAAAGTATTGAAGTTATTTTAGTATAATTATTTCAGCATTTTAGTAAGCTAAAATTTTACACTAAATTAACCACATTGTCATCGAAAGCAAAATTATTACGTGAATCACCACGATAATTTCAACTCTGATTACATTTGTAAAGCAGTAATACACAGTTCATGTGTGTGCCAAATTTAATTTGTTTAAGAAAAGAAGTTCTGAATAAATAAGCAATGAAAAACACATATTAAATCAACATGTTGGCGTTGATTGAAAACGGATTATCCCGTTAAAAAATGTTTTTTTTTTGCTAACACTATTAGGTCATTAACAACGACACTGGTCACTCATTACAATTCTCATTTTTGCTTGTTTAGTGTTTGATTTATTTGATTTGGATAGTCAGCTAACTTTTTAAATTCTTGTTTTCTTCGGAGGAATGTATGTATTGTCTGCTTTTCAATACGTTAAACTTTTTGTTGAATAGATATTTTTGTTATAATTGTATTATAAGAATAAAATCGGTTGGTTTCGTTTCACATCCGGATTATGGCACATCAAGTCTAAGTTACTGTCTTGTTATGTTTTCGACCTACCCCCCTCCCTCTCCCCCCCCCCCCCCCTCGGGGCGACAAACAACAAAAATGAATCACCGTTCTTTGTTATGAATTATACACCACCAGAAACAACAGCAATAATTTCAAAGCTGAATTGGCAATAAGTTAGTTCGAGTAAACCACTGACGCCAAGCTAGCAGCGGGAAAAATTTTCCGCTGTGACCATTTTGTTCCCGTTTGTTCCAACATTTTCTGTAAGTTTTTCCGCGGCATTCCTGCATAAAAGTTTATTTACACATTCATATCCTCAGATATCTTGCATTTCATGTTTGCAGCGTGTTATTTTTATCCCATCTTGTTCAAAGTTTTTGATTTTCAGTTCATACTAGGCGAGTTTAATGATCCTCCTTCCCGTCTCCTTTCGAAAAGAAATGGTCGTTTCTTACCCAAGGCCAATTAAAAGACGTTATCAATTTATAGTCAGAGAAAAGTATGATAATATAAACAACATTTTCATAAAAACTTTGATTATACTGGTACAGCATGTTATACTAACTGACTAATTTTTTTGTCGAAATCCTTAGAGAAAAGGTAGTATACATTCTCGCCGCGATATATTGTGTTTGTGCTGATGTGGCGTAAAGCAATCAATCAATCAATCAATCAATTGACCAATTAATACATTCGGTATATGCCTGTTCCAAGTCTGGATCGAGTCGTTATTTGATGTGGTTGTCTGTAATTTTTGTTGGTTTATCATTTTTTTCATAAACTTGGCCGTTAGTTTTCTCAAATGAATTGTTTAAATTTTTTTGTTATCCTGGCCTTTTACAGCCGACCATACTGTATGGGTTTTTCTCATTGTTGAAGACTGTGCAATTGCCTTTTAGTGCTTACCTCCGCATGTCCTTATTTTTATATTATACAAGTATTACATAAAATATAATTATCAACGTTACTTACAAATGAGGTATGGTCAGATGAAGACGGCCACAAAGACATGACATTTGTACACTTTGCAACTATTTCAAAAACCAAATGTATGTGACCCACAACTGTACCTGAGATAAGGAGTTGACCACTTTAACCTAATCTTGCTCACTGATCCATTGTAGGATCCATTAAATGAGGCCAAAATCAAGTGAACCATGTATGACCGACATGTATACCTTGTAAAAGAGGGGCGAAAGATAGCAGATGGACAGTCAAACTCATAGATCGAAGATAAACTGACAACGCCATGGCTAAAAGAGAAAAAGACAAACAGATAAATAATAGTACACAAGACACAACATAGAAAGCTAAAGACTAAGCAACACGAATTCATCAAAAACTGGACGTGATCTCAGGTGCTCCGGAAGGGTAAGCAGATCACGCTCCAGATGTGGCATCCATCGTGTTGCTCATATTATTACAAACCCGGTAAATAGTCTAATTTGGTAGGGATGCCATATATTAGTAAACAAATTTTGAGCTTTGTTAGAAAATCGTGACCACTGTAGACAACGACGACGTAAATATTTCGACGCGGCTTGTGCTCCTCTTTCCAATGA